GCCCTGCGGCTCCGGGAACAACGCACGGCAGGCAGGCAGCAGAGGCAGTGGGTTTATTCAACAGCCAAGTGCAGGGGTGGGGACAGCCACAGCCCCCAGCTGCCCAGGGGACAGTGCTGGGGACAAACTGGGAAGAGGGGAGCAGGGCAGGTACCCATGGTGGCCACAGGGACCCCAAGAGGAGGGCAGTGTAGAGGGGTGACATGAGCCACGGGGAGGGCGAGCGTGGGAGATGTGGGATGCCCCAGATGGGGGCCAAGGACAGCCACAGCCACCGTGTCCAACCAGGGAACAGCTCTGGAGGGGGAGGAAGTCACCTGCTCCCCGTGGCCACGGGAACAGGACAAGCAAGAACAGCTCTGTGGGAAGAGAAAAGGAAAAAAGGAAATATCCCAGCAGGAAATTTGGGTAAAAAACTTCCCAAGGGAGCAGTGGAGGAGGAGGGGTGGAGGCAGCGTGGCAAGGGGGTGGGGAACAGGCTGGGCAGGTGCTGCCGGGTGGCTCCTGGGTGGGGAGCAGATACCAGCTTCTGAAGTCCCTTCCAACCTCATTTCCCACCCAGACCATTAACTACAAAGCTGTAGGAAAAGGAGAGACTGAAGCAGCTGTTGCAGGATGAAAGGCCAATGTGCTGCTTGGGAAGCTGCTCTGGCTGGGTGCTGCCTTGGCACAGCTGCTCCTGGGTTGGATGTGGAGGTACCCTGCACATCGGGGTGCACTGGGTTAACTCCTGGGGAGGATAAGGATGGGGGACCACAGGGTGTGGCAATGGAGACCCACCACTGACAGCCCCCCAGTAAAGATCCTGGGGGTCTGAAGTGGGAAAGATACAGGTGGATCCAGATTTTGACCATGAAGGCTGAGAGGTGGGCATGTGGGGAGAAGAGGTGCCATACAGGGGGTGGCTCTGAACAGCCAGGTGGGTCTGTGACGTGTCACTGTGAGGGCCAAGGTGTTGAGGACAGTACCTGAATGTCAGGGCTAATGGTGGTGCCCAGGAGACCCTAGTGAAACCAGGAGGCTCTCCCCATGCTGAGGAGCAGGCAAGGTCCCCAGGGCTCAGAGGCTGGGGGGAAGAAGCCAGGGAAGGGGATGCTCCCCAAAACCGCTGTCAGCCCCTAGCAGCTGCCCTGCTCCACGAGGGGGTCACTGGGCTGGGTTTTACAAGGGGCCAAGCGCTCACCCCCCAGCTCTCCAGAGCTGTGTTGGGTCTCAGCCCTCCTCGACAGGGGGCACGGGGCATTTTTGGTAGATGTAGACCACGCCAGAGATGTAGCCGGTGCCCTGGGTGCTCTCCTCCTCGGAGGTGGCCCTCTCCCAGTTCTCCACCTCCTGGACCAGGACCTTCTGCCAGGCTCCTTGCCTCTCCAGCTGCTCCAGCACCACCTCCAGCTCCGCCTTGTAGCGCAGGTTCGAGGGGTTGCTCCTCGTCGTCAGGCAGAGGAACCCTCCTGCCGGGACAGGGGATGAGTGACACCGAGTGTCCCCGCTGGGGGTGGCATCCTCTTGGGAAGGGGGAGCAAGGGGAGAGGCAGTGAGACCCTGCCAGGGGTCAGCTGGCAGGGCAGCAGGCAGGAGATGGGGCAGGGGACGGGCAGGGGACGGGGCAGACTGTCACATCTGAGCACAGCAGTG